GTTAAAATATGGCGGGTCCCACCGGTGGGACCCATCGTGGTGAATGGATTAACGTTATGTTGGAGTGTTTAAAAGAAATAATTAACTTTCTGATGTAAACTGCTTTCAGTATATATGTATAATAGTTCCTCGTAGAATAAAACAACAAATAATTTACGCTTCTATCCAATGATTTCTGCATTTAGAATGAAATAAAAGCAAATTTATTACCGATATCTTTCATGCTGACAAGTGTATTTTAGTTTATTATGAAGTTACAAGCATGTTGTGAACATTATTCATACTTGGAGAATGCCAACAAAAAAAACGAAGGAGAAATGTTTCGTTTTTTATGCTTTCATATTGGCCTCTTACGTCAATCACTACATTTGAAGCCGTAGCAGTAGTTTTTTCTTTTCTTCCTATGTCTGTTAAAGGAAGAAAAATGAAATAAAAAAACCTTCTTGGAGTGAGAATGGTAAGCTAAAGCCATTGCACGAATACAGCAAGTCGAAATTTTTTTTTTACGTTCTATTGAAACATGTGGAATCTGACGACAGATCATAAATTAAACATACGGTTCTCATTTATTTTAAAAAATTATGTATATTCAGCTCTTCATTTTTTTCTTAAAATCACTTGTAGCCAATTACAGTTCGATAGTCTCAATAGGAGAAAAGTAAGCTGTTAAAAACAAATAACTACTTCAAAACCTATTAAGAATCACAAGCGTGTATGTGAATAAAATAGATAGCTCCCACAGTTGAAGTAAGTAATCAATTTTAATAAGATTTTATAAAAAGAAAACATATTTAAATGGATGACATCGATATTTCTATTTTAGATATGATTAATAACGATTCTGATGAAAAAACAACTACACAACATGATCATCTAGTCCTTTATAATTTCAACGAACACATAGTAAAACTTAGTGAGTTGTATTGTGCATGTCAAAAAGGTGATGTTAACCGTTCACGTGAACTTCTATCGACTATTCCTTACCATAAAAGAATCTGGAAATTAGAACCAAATGGAGATACAGCTCTGCATGCCGCGGTTCGAGCTGGTCATGCCTCTATTGTTACTTTACTTTTCACACATGGTTTTTCACGTATTTCAATCAATAAAGAAAATAAAACTGCTTATGAAATAGCTTCTAATAATGATATTCGTTCTTTATTTCATCGTTCAATTGATGAATCTCAATCACGTTTCATCGATCAAAATATCAATCAAACATTGAAGATACTTGATCTCAACTATAATACACATGATCAAGTTGTTTATGACAATATCAATGATGCAATAGAATCTCGGTATATGGCTGTATTTAATCGAATGCCTAGATTTCTTAAAAATATTGTCAGAACCATGACAGAAGCTAAAAGTCTACAAATATTTAAAATGATTGTTGCAAAAGTACAAAATACCTATATAACTGGTACAGATGATCAAATTTTATTGAAAAACACATTTGACGACTTTGTACGAACTAAAGATATCAATCATCTGATTCATTTGTATACGTTGAATGATCTTTATAAGGCTATTCGAGAACATGCAAACGCATATACAACGTTAGTATGTTTGAATTTATCATTGCTATCCGAACGAAAATATCAAGGCATCTGTTATCGTGGAGTGGGTATGACAATACACGATGTCAGTCGATTTTATTATGCTATGAAAACATCAAGTAGTGTCATAGAAACACGGAACTTATCATCAACATCCAAAAATAAAATAGTCTCATCGATATATTCTGGTTTTGGTGCATCACGTCTTGATAATTTGTACAGTGTTTTACTCGTATTTGAATTTTCAAAACCATGTAGTACAGCTATTGATTTGACGCGAGTATCAGATCGTTTACCTACTATATCACAATTTGAACATGAAGAAGAAGTGTTAATATTACCATATACCTTATTTAAAGTAACGAGAGTGACAGAAGAAACCGACATTGAACCATTTTCAATTTATTTACAAAATGTAACCGTGCCTAAACAATCACTTATCAATTTTTTTAGGATGAAACCAGAAGATATTAAATAGAAACAGAGTCCAAAAATATGTAACGACATTCTTTAAAAAACAATAAAAAAAATATTAGATTCTTTACGCTTAAGTTTTGATCTTTTCTGTATCTTCAAGAATAAATTTTGAGTAAAACGTAATACGATGCGACCGCTGAGTTCCAACAGTTTCATCAATCACGAACGAATCTTGAGTGAGTGGAGTGTGAGTATGGATTACATGACACTCACATCCACATGCTTTATTTCCTCAATTATTTCTGTAATGAAGTGGATTGTATTTCATGTATCTTGTTCAACTTCTGTACAAACTGTCAATTTCTCAAAGTGGCATGTTTATTATTACTTTTTGAAGTTACACAATGGTATCTATTGATATTTACTTGTTTGATTGCCTATAAGCGATAGGAGTTCGAATTATAGTCACTATTCTGATATTTCCAGATGTTGATGTGTATGAAACATGCTATTTTTCTCTTTGTCTATCAACACGTCCACATTTTTTACGCACATACAAAAACTTAATCATATGCAATCAGACGTTTTATGCACTGTAATTATATGAGTCATATCCTCTTTTTTTGTTCTGTTCTGGCAATCTACATATAATAAAACAACTTTCCAGAAAACAATCCTGAAAATTTCCTAATTTTTCATGAAAAGTGGTGGCCGAGGCCAAGGGCAGAGGGTAGCTTTGCGAAGGTCCTCCTATCCCTCCTGAAGGATGAGCCAAACCTCAAAAAAAGTTATGTCAAAAAAAATAATGATCACGTGATCCGTCCGTTTGACCCTCCTCCCCTACGTGATTTTTGAGTGGGTGTGGTGTGGGTGTGAATTTAAATAAATAACGAATTAACAATATGATGAAGCAAAAAAGAAGATCGAGTAAATAATGTATAAATAAATAAGTGAATAAATATATTAGATAAAAAAATAAACTTTCTTTTTCTATATTGTTTCTTAGATTATTTTAGTTTTTTTGTATTTTGTAAATTTTTGAATTTGTTTTTGTAAGTTTTTCTTTTTTCTCTCTTTAAGTGTAAACGAAAGATTCTGATTTACAATGAGTTATGAAAAACAGAAGAAGATATGCACCCTTTTGTTTAAGTTTTTTTGGTATGAAAAAAGTTCTTGATCTCTTTGAGATTTTTGTAAAAACCTATATATTTTAGAATACGAAATAAATATTGAAGACAAAAATTGAGCTTGTTTTATGATAAAAAATAAATAAACATGGAAAAACTAATTTTTTTTAGAATACGAAATGAATAAATATGTAGAAATTGAGTTTTTTTCAGAATAAGAAATGGGTAAGTAAGAAATGAATGAGCTTTTTTGTGTATGAAATAAATAAATAAGATAAATTTATGAATTGAGATAAGTAAATTTGTTTTTGTTTAAGAAAAATGAGCTTTTTTTATAATATTTTATATTATAGAGAGATAATAAGAGACTTTTTTTGTGTTAGAAAAAACCCAGGTGAAAAAATCTTATGATGATCGTATAAGATCTTACAAGATCTTACGGACCATCGGATATCGTAAGATTCATACTGTATGATCTTACAGAATCGTACAAAAAACTTACTGTAAGATTCTTACAAAATCTGATGATCAGATCGTATGAGACCTTGTACGATCGCATAAGATCTGATCATCAGATTTTGTAAGAATCTTACAGTAAGATTTTTTATAAAATCTGATGATCAGATCTTATACGATCGTATAAGATCATAATAATAAGTTTGTCTTGTGTAAATAATTTTTATAACGATAGTTTCATGTATTTAAATAAATTCTTAAGCGACTAAATACGTTCTAATTTAAATGATGCATCCTTTAGTTTTGAAAATACATCTTCTATATATTAGTGTCTATCTGGTAAAAAGTTACACCACTTGTTAAATCAGTTTGACCAATCAAATTTATTGTTGTTTTAGATAGTAATGTCGAATAAGTTATTTTTGCACTCCAAGTACATAAAAGATAGGAGAACAGATAAAGACATTGTACGTATATCATCAGAAACAATAAGGAATCGATTCTTACTTTATCTTATTTTTTCTCTTCCTAATATCCGACACATTCACCGACGTCTTCTTATAAAATGACGAAGAATCTTCTCGTCGGTGTTTTTAGTCTATTTTATCTATTCTATGATGTACGAAAGTAAATTGCGCACATCATTGTTAAATAAGTCTATCTTGTCTTTATTACTTTGATTTTCTTGTCAGGTGTAGATGTGATTAGTAAATTTTTATTAAAATGAATCAACAAAAGAGAATCAATGATTTGATAGAGATAGGTCGTCAGAGAAAGAAGAAAAGATTAGATTTACAACGTAAAAATTACAAATATCATACTGATTTAGCAAAGAATATTGTTGAAAGTTTCACTACAACAGCTAACCATTTCATAGTTGAAGAAGAAAATGATGAATTTAAATGGAATGATTCAATTAGTACTTTGTACAATAATACAAATGGAACAGGTAGTTCCATTATCACAAATTATGATCCATATTTACACGGTGAATATTTACAAGATGTAAATAATAGTGCATTTTTTACGTCAAAAGCAATTGTTCAAGAGCAAGAATTAACATCCAGCAATAGTTCAAATTATTTGAATAGGGATAACAGTAAAACATTTGAAAGTTTTACAATTCAAACTGAAGGTAAGCTTATATAATAGCGTTGATTTATAGTATTTATTTTAATTGAATTATCTTTTATTTTATTTTAGATCATATGAACAATTGGTTCAATCAAAGCAAGTATTGATTTAATTTAAATTATCCATTATTTTTATTTTAGATGATAACCACAGTAGATCCAAATAAAGTAAGCATTTTTTTACTTTAAATCAGTTATTTATTTTTATTTTAGACAACAACAACGATTAAGCCAGACACAATAAACATTCATTTAATAAAAGATTTTTTTTTACATAATTTGATGTATTTAGTGGATTTATTGGTTTATGAATTAAAATCAAAATTATTTATTTATTTCGACCGATCATTTAGTCAATTGATTGTTTATACATTAAGATTCAAATTATTAATTTACTTATTTATTTATATCAATTGGTGTATTTAGTGGATTTATTGGTTAAGTATTAAAATTAAAATTATTTATTTATTTCAATTGATGTAGCTATATAAATTTATTGTTTATTAATTAAAACCAAAATTGTTTATTTATTTGATTTGATTCGTTTATGTCACTTTATTGGTTATGGATTAAAATTAAATTTATTTATTTAAATTGATGCATTTGTCGAATTTATTGATTATGAAATAAAATTATAATTATTTATTTATCTAAGTTGATGCATTTATGAGAATTTATTGATTATGAATTGAAATTTTATTTATTTATTTATTTATATTGATGCATTTGTGAGAATTGATTGATTATGAAATAAAATTTTATTTATTTATTTATTTATTTATATTGATGCATTTAGTGAATTTATTGGTTATGGTATGAAATTATAATTATTTATTTATTGATATTGATGCATTTATGAGAATGTATTGATTATGGATTAAAATTAAAATTACTTATTTGATTTAATGGATTTATTGAATTTGATGGTTATAAATTAAAATTAAAATTATTTATTTACTTAATTTGATACATTTAGTCAAGATAATTTTAATTCATCAATATTATATTGACTAAATCTATCAAATTAAGTAAATAAATAATTGTGATTTGTTGCATTTATGTGTGCTTAAGATAAAACACTGCCTGAGAAAGGAAGGTATAGAACCCGAAGGGAAGAAAATGAGGTATATAACGTTGTCGGAAGCTCTAAAGGATCTTGTATGAATCTTATAAGATCGTACAAGGACTGACATTAAGATCGTACAAGAATCGTACAGTACGATTTCATCTGAAATGGTGGCTTTGAGGTAATCGTACAAAATCGTACAAGATCATATACGATTTTCATACGATCTTGTATGAACGTACAAGATCGGCGTACGATCTTATACGACTCTTACAAGATCATATAAGATCGTACAATCGGATTCTTTCACCTGGGAAGTGTTTGAAAGTGAAAATTTTAGAAATGAACGAGAGTTTTTTGTTTTTTTGAGTTAAATAAAGAAATATTTTTAGTTTTTTTAAATTTTTATTGTTTTATAATAAATAATACGATACGTGATACAAATAATTGTTTGAGAAGCGACTCGTTTCGAATTCTCTTCAGGCTATGAATGAATGACTATCTATTTCTCTTTCCTTTCCATTTATACTACTCTCGTCCAATAGGAATTTTTCTTCTTAATGGAGGCCACTATTCTCATTGGAGGGGGATAGATGTCGTTCTTTTCTTTCCATTTCTATCTTTTTCTCAGTATTTTTTCAGTATATTCTAACTCGTAGGGGCAATCTCGATAGTGTTGGTGCCAAGGAGGGACTAAGCTCAAAATATCCCTTTCACATGAAAAAGGTTCACACAATTATAAAATTATAAAAATACAGAAAACAACAAAAAAACAAAGAACGAAGTGAAGAACTGAAAACAATATAGGGTCAGGTCCTTCGTTGTTGTCGTCGATATTATTGACGACTCTATAATAGAAAATGAAAAAAAAGGGGGAGGGGGATCCGTACTACCTTATTCTATTCTTGTTCTAATTCTTCTACCAGTGCCTTAACTGCCGTCTTAGGTGGTTTCTTGTAAACTAGTATCTTTTTTAAGTTATCCGTTAATCTATGGGCAAAAATAACTGGGATATCACTTAGTGGGGTATCTTCAAAGATCTCTTGCCAGATATGGTGGAATCTCGAGCCGAAACATGCCAAGCTGGGGGTATAAGTAAAGTGGAGCATAATATCTTTATTAAAGTTAACCCCGAGTTTGTCTTTTTTATTCCATTCTGCATCTAAGACCTTATCTCTATAGGGTGTGGGTGTGGGTGTGGGGTGGGTGTGTGGGTGTAGGTGTGGGTGTGGGTGTGGGTGTGGGTGTGGGTGTGGGTGTGGGTGTGGGTATGGGTGTGGGTGTGGGTGTGGGTGTCGGTGTGGGTGTCGGTGTGGGTGTGAGTGGGTTACCGGATCTTCACCAATAAAACTTTCGCCAAATAGCACTTTCGTCAATGACGAAAGTCCAGGGATATATTGGCAAGAATCTACTGTACTTTCGCCGATTGTCGAAATTCCAGAGGGCGTATTAGCGAAAGTACAGTGGACTTCCGCCAACTGCCACAAAACAATATTAACATAGAATATATGTGAGTTTAATTCACAATACAATTGGCGAAATTCCACGAGAGATGTTGGCGAAAGTACAGTGAACTTTCGCCAATTGGCGATATTCCAGTGTGTCTATTGGCGAAAGTATAGTGGAGTTTCGCCATTGGCGAAAGTTTTATTGGCGAAGGTCCGGAATCCCGTGCGAGTGTGGGTGGGGGTGGG